TTCGTAGGCCCAAAGTTCCGTTTTAATTAAGGACTGGCTCTGTACCTCCAACTCCGTGTCTACGTTTGATGAACGTCAGTCACAAGAGAACTGATGCGCAGTGGATTAGTACATGCTGCAATACATTATGTTATAGTAGGAGTGTAAATAAGAGTGTAAAGACAGTGAATTAATAAAAGTAAAAGAGTAACTAATGGGAGCAAATACTGGAACAAGCTTGCGTGATGTTAACTGAGAAAGCGATAGTTACCCAGGGTAACTGCAGTATGCGTGTGGTCAAGGATGCCGAGTTCCTCCGCGTAGGTCCTAACAAACTTGAAGAGCATGTACAACTATACATTGCAGAGAACAGGCTGCCTGAATCGTATCGGCCACCGAGATTTCGCAACGCAAACCTGTAGCATTGGTTGCTGGAGCAAGTCAACAGTCCCCTGAGTCTAGTAGGACCCACGAACGTCCAGGACACGGAAGCCCTCGGAACCTTCGATCGGTCTGTCAGCATCTTCAGTACAGTTTCACTCCGATTTCGGACGGAAATCGGTGACTCAGCGGACTGTGGTGATTTCAGGGCTGTATCTCGAAAAAGCTCACTTGCAATGTTAACGGCATTGTTTATCATCATCTTACTAAAAGCTGCAAAATAGCACATACCAGTAGAAATCAACAGCATGGTTTGTTTTAACGGTTTCTGCGGGAGCAGCAAATGCTGTTAAAACGACCGCAAAGACGTTGCATTTAATAGGAAAAGTGATCAGGAACCCATTTAAAAGTGTATGAGTGGGTGACGTCAAGGTATTTTTGTATCCAACTTCCATCCGAAAGTTAGCCCGTGACTATTTTCGGACTGAAATCGATCACCCTTGTTATCAGGGCGTTCAGTTTACGGTGGTCTCTTGAACATCCAGCCACATACGAGGTATTTGCTTTTCAATGCAGTTCTATTACGAGTTACGAAACTCTAACTCGGACAGCGAAACACCTATTTCATCGGTGTCTGCCCGGGTCTGCGTATTCCCCACCGAAAGGGTATGGAAGTCGGGCGTCTTCCACTACGTTGGGTTTAACACCGTTGCCCAGTGAGAACAGGAATGGGATGATGGATAAGCCCAAGTCCTATGCCACAATCGCGAGCGCCAGCACCTCAGCAAAAGCAAGGATAACCATAGCTGAGAATAAAGCCTAGATGTCTTCACGGCTCAAGAAATGAAACGCCAAAAATGCGGAACTAAATCCCGTCCTAAATAGAGTAGCGCAGCTTGAGCAACTGGTAAAAGAAATGCATACAAAAACCAGCATCACCGAAAAGTAACAATCCACCTGCTCGCAACCGTTGCCTGATAATCACAAACGTCCCAAAATCAGAGACTCCAACTGAAAGGATACTCGACGACCAAGCTTTCCTTAAACGAATGGTCTCCATACTGTTTGATGAGGGTGGGCAAGGGATAAACCTAATCTCTGCTTTTCGCCTTGGCAGAAAACAGGAGGACGCTGCCAAGTTTCGTCCTTTGAAAATCGTCTGTCAGAATGAAGAATTCCAACGCATGCTAAGACTGACTCCGCGCCTCAAGGGAGAAACCTTCTACGTTCTGAAATACCTCCCCGGAGGACCGATTCCGAATGAGGCAAGCTGTCTGCGAGCTGAGAACCCGAAGAGCGAGTGGAAAGACAGATCTCCACATAGTGGGTTCTCGCATGGTCAGAAAAACTCAGAGCTCGATAGAGGCCAATCTTTCTTCTTCCCGGACCTCAAACATAACGGATTAAAGATAATACTCGAGAACGTGCGCAATCTCAGAAACAAGCTAGATGAGATTTCACTCCTTATCTCTGAACAGCAACCGGACCTAACGGCGTTCACCGAAACCTGGCTGTCATCTGATATATCTGACTCGGAGGTTAATATTTCAGGATATCAGTTATTTCGATGCGATCGCTTTGGTGGGAAGTCTGGAGGCGGAGTAATCCTCTACACCAAGAACTGCCTGAAGGTCCACATTGTCGAACCCGATTGTGACAAGGATGAGATGTCAGAAATGCTCTGGTTTCGAATTCATGAGGGATGTCAATCACTGATGGTCGGAGTGGTCTACATAGCTCCTGCAAGAGTTGGCTCACGCCTATTGTGTTCCGCACGAACCCACAGCATAGGAGCAAACTGTCTTCTTAGGGGCGACTTCAACGCCCACAGCATAATCTAGGAGCTTCTTCACAATGACCTCGCATTGGACTCCTTTGAAGTTGATCTCCTTGATACTGTTCACGAGTGCAACCTGACACAGCATGTCTTGACACCAACACGGATGGTCCCTGGTCAGACACCAAACATTCTAGAACTGGTTCTCATCTCGACCCCATCCGATGTCTCACATCTAACGATCCTCCAACCTATTAAGAAGAGTCATCACCGTAGTCTCCTTTTCGCGGACACGACGCCTTACAATCCACAATGAAGGGACACTGCGTCGAAATTTCGAGCGCATTGACCAGCCCAGAGTAAGAACGGTTCTAAGTACTATGGATTAAAGTGTTTCGCAATGCTTGGAGCTTGATGACGCATGCAAACGCCTACGAGCGATGATGATGCGTTTCATTGAACAGTTTGATCCAAACTGCAGGAGCAGACCACCACCAAAAGAACCCCAAGGTTAATTAAAAAATCCTTAATTAAAGAACGACGGAAACTATGGGATCATTTCTAGATCACAGGACTGACATCAAGCTACTTAGAGTACAAAACTGTCAGAAACTTATGCACCCTGAGAAAACGAGACAAAAAACTACAATATGAACATGGACTGGCCTTGGAATAAAAAACGGTCCAAAAAACTTGTTGCTTATCTAAAGCGAAATGCCAAAACGGGTAGTGGAATCCCCGCTCTATCCTTTCCTAAGAAAGGTACCGTTCTCTACGGCGATGATGAAAAAGCAAACCAACTGGCTGCGCAATATTCCTCAGTCTACTCTGTGGAGCCACCAGTGCTCAACAACTGTTTGCCTGTACCCTACTCCTCTATGGACCAAGTTGAAATTAACCCCGAAGTAGTCACTAGGCTACTCCTCGAAGTGGACCCGAACTCCTCCCCAGGCCGACGGATTGCATCCCAGCTGCCTCAAAACGATAGCTGAGTACGTCGCCGCCTCTCTCTGTCAAGTATTACAGCAATCCCTCGAAGTCGGCTGTCTACTCACAGGATGGAAAGCAAATACCGTCCTGCCCAAATACAAGAGGGGAAACTAACAAGACCCAGCGAACTACCGGCCAATATGCCTGACATCAGTCGTATGCAAAACCATGGAACGAATAGTCAAGTGCGCCCTCCAGCTGCACTGTGTGAAGCTTAACGTCATCTCACCTGCTCAACATGGATTCCGGGGAGCACGCTCATGCACCACTAACTCATCGCCAGGGAAACATGGACAGAAGCCACAGGTGTCCGAAAACAGGTTGACATAATATTCATTGACTTCAGCAAAGCCTTTGATAAGGCTCCACACGTACGATTGCTACATAAACTCCAGGGAATTGACATTACAGGAAGTATTCCCTCCTGGATTGCCGATTTCTTAAGAGGTAAAACAATGCGCGTACAAGTGAAACAAACCCTCTCTGATTCAGTGCCTATGACTAGTGGCATTCCCCAAGGATCAGTGCTTGGACCGGAGCTGTTCAAACTGTATATCAACGATTTACCGACTGCTTGATCTACGCCGATGACCTCAAGCTATGGTCAACAGTATCCAGCCTTGAGGATGCGGACAGATTCCAAAGGGCTCTAGACCAGCTACGCGAATGGTCCATCAAGTGGGAACTGCCAGTAATCCGAGATAAATGCGCTGTTCTCCCAATGGGTAGCACTGGACCGTACGGTGCATACCACTTTGGTGGGTTTTTCCTCAGGAATACCACTCGCGATTGAGATCTCGGGGTTATCGGAACTTCTGATCTTAGGACGACGTAGGACACCTTGGAGGTGTCCAATGGAAGGAGACTGGTGATTGCCTTAAGTAGGTCATTCGCTCGAATGACTCCTGAGATTTTTCGACCTTTGTTCACTTCGTAAGTCCGTCCAGTCTTAGAATATGGCCTACCAGCTATTCATACGGCTACAAAGTTTGAATGCGCTCTGCCGGAAAAGGTTAAGAGACGTGCAAAGAAAGCTGTCCTGGGTCTTCGTGATCTCGTGTACCCCATTGGACTCCAGCAGCTAAATCTGTTCTCCCTCGAGCTCCGCCGTCGCCGGGCGCATCCTCCGAGGGGAACTTGGAAATGAGTTACAATTGTTCCGGCCCAACATTGACTGTTCTGCACGGGGTCACACATGGAAACTATTTAAACAAAGACAGAATTCGCATGGACGTCATCCTATCCGAACAAAGTTCCAAGCGGCTGATAGACAAACATTCGCTGAGAATGCTGGAATCTTGCGGCTGTCACTGCAATTGCGACGAAACCTCGAGGAACGTCGTAATGCAACGACATGCATCAAACGCAGTAGGATACGGAATCGAGATTGACAAAGGATTTCCCTCTTGCTCTTTACAACTCAATGAACTCAATGGACACGTAGGCCCTCGGAATCCCCGACCTGATGCATACTACATATTTGACGACCCTACCAGTTCCCGACAGCAGTCCATGTTGCAGCACTGCTGTTCCTGAGGCTATAATTAACATGGTTTGTCGTGGAAAATCTCGCACCTAGCACACCGTACTGTTGTTTTGTTAATCAGCAGACCGTTGACCTGACGCCTAGCACAGAAGTTACTTGCTATTAAACACTTGTTTGCGGTGTAAGAAAGAATAAATTCAAGCACCTTTTTGGATGCACTCCCAAGGCTTTTATACACAATTACATTCGTGTTGACCCAAGCAATTGCCATGCCGCAAATATGAAGCGTTCTCCAACAAACGCTGATGGAGGACAAGAAACTTGTTGCACAGAAATAATGCCTCAAATAAGGGTGCAATGCTGCAATTAAACGAAAGGAAAACTCACTTGATTCTCGATATCCATCGCGCCCAGCGTACTCACTGTAGCGTTCGTCCGGTTGAGGGTTCCGAGAACTGATTCCGGGGCGTACGTAGGCCGTAAGAGACCGAAGGCGCTGAAAGGTCAATGTGATATTTCGTAGGCAGCTGGACAACTACATAGTAAAAGCCGGAACTGGATGGTGCGCCTGCGTTACACCACTTGGCGAGCCGGACGGCAGTCACAGCTGCTGATAGAAGGGCGTGAAAGCACGCCCGAAGCATTGGAACGTAGAGAGCAGAAGGAAAGACCTTTGTCAGCTCCATCATCTCCCAATCATAGCAGGTGTTTGCGCAACAGCAAGCAACAAGTTAGATTATCGGTTGCATAAGAAACAACAAGATCCCTGCAAATTCAAGAAGTACAAATCCGACAATCGTTTAAAACGTTCCTCCGTATGCGTGCTAATGACGGAATCAGGCAAGTAGTTCCAGCCGTTCATCACATGAATCGATAGAGTAAAATCGGAGCGAAGGCTGAGTCTCCTAGGTTTAAACAGCTTCCAACAGTGACCCCGAGTTGAATACTCAGTGTTAATTTGGAAGAAACCTTGGAGCTCGATTCCCATCTCGCCTCGTAGAATGCGCCGAGCGTAGATCACATCGCCTCGGCGACGCCGATATGCCAGAGAGAGCATTCAAGTGCTGGAGACGAATGTGATATGGCAGGTGTCGGAGCTTAAAGATGTACTTAGAACCGCGTCGCTGAACTTTTTCAATCAAGCCATGTTCAAGCTTTGTAAGTGGATGAACTGCAGGTAATCCATTTTCGAGGATTGGATGCACATTGGAGGAAAAGTTAAGTCTGAAGATCTCCGGCGTCAATCGTGAGAAGGCTCTTCGGATAGAGCACAGTAGTCTGTTAGCCGCAGCAACCTTCCTCAAAGTATCTTGGGTGGTTTTTAGATGAGAGCATACAATAACATCGAGGTGTCTTTCCTGTTTCGCATTATTAAGCAAATAACCAACAAGGTGGTAAACACCGAATGGTTCAGTAGCACCAATGGAGAGTACAGAACATTTATCGCGATATATAGGCAACCGCCATTTAAATGACCAATAATGCAGCCGATCCAGTGTACTTTGGAGGCGGACAGCATCCTCAGCGCGGGTTACCTCCATCCATAACTTCAAATTGTTAGCATACATCAAACATTCGGTCCGGAGAGTTGAAGGAAGGCCGTTAGTAAAAATGTTGAACAACTCCGGTCCGAGAACAGAGCCCTGAGGAGCGCCACTGCTCATAAGGACAAGGGTTGAATACGTATCACTGACCTTAACCCGCATAACTCGGTCTGGAAAGAAATCAGAGATCCACAACAGAACCCTCAGAGACCAATTGCTTGAAGTTTGAACAAAAGCCGCTCATGAGGCCTTGCTGAAATCAACATAGGTAACGTCCATACGTTCGCCCGCATCCAGTGAGTTCGCCCATCTCTCTCTGGCAACTAACAAATTGGTGGTATACGAGTGTGACTTACAAAAGCCATACTGAGCAGTAAATATCATCCTCCGGTCGTCGAAGCAAATGCTGAGAGCACCCTTGAAAATCCGTTTCATAATTTAAGCATTACAGATGTTAGGCAAAGAGGTAGATAGTTTGCTGGGTCTTGGCGATTCCCTACTTTATATATGGGCTTGACAGTGCCCAGCTTCCAGGCTGATGGAAGTCGTCTGGATTCAACAGAGCGAGGAAACACATGACATGCTGGGGCTGCAATGTACTTAGCCACGGTCTTGAGAAAAAGAGGGTGCAGGTCAGCAGGACCAGGCGAGGTATTTGGATCTAACTTGAGAAGGAACTGAGTAACAGTTTCCGTACTGATCTCAAGATGATCCAGCAAAGATGAGCACGGGAGTACTGCCTCAGAAAACGGAGTTGCAATAGTAAAAGCGGATGAACACTGTTGAGCTAAGAGATCCGTTTTAGCAGCATCCTCATGAAGGCAGCGTTTACTGGAATACAGAGATGGAATGTCAGTACCACCTTTGGTGCCCCTGTTCAGAGATGAGAACATTTTGGGGGAGCAGCTGGACCGTACAGTCAATTGAAACGTAGTTTTGGCGATTCGCCAGCTTCTTCAGGATACAAAGGTTCCTAAGCGTTTTGTATTCCAAGTAGTCGGCCGTCGATTGTGTACACTTGGATCGGTCCCATACTTTGCGTCCTTTGTTCATCAGAGACCTCAACTGTTTGTCAATCCAAGGAAGATCGCCTGCTAGACCTCTATTTCTAGAAATGGGAACGTGGTTGATTAGCGACATCATTTTGCAGTAAAAATGAGTCCAAGCATCGTCAACACTCGAAAAATAAGGAATGGTCCAGTCCATGTTAGAAGTAGCCTCCTACAGACGCTGCGGATCGGCCCGCCAGAAATCACCTTGGTTAAAATAGAAAATCGACGTGCCCATTGGATAACTGTGCTATTGCACAGTGATCACTCTTACCAAAAGGTTACATAACAACTAGGTCGGTGACATCTTATTGAGTTCAAAGAGTTATGAAGAGTAGGAGGGAAATCCCGTTGTCAGTCTCGATTCCGTATCCTACTGGGTTTGATGCGTGTCATTGCATTATGACGTTCCTCGAGTTTTCGTCGCAACTGCAGTGACAGCCGCAAGATTCCAGCATTCTCAGCGAATGTCTGTCTATCAGCCGCTTGAAACTTTACTCGGATGGATCGTCTGCAATTTCTTTCGGTAGGCTGTTCCAATCATTCACCACTCTAGTGGATAAAGTGAAGTCCATGCGAATTCTGTCTTCTTTGCCTAAACAGTTTCCATGTGTGCCCTCGGGCAGAACAGTTAGTGTTGGGCCGGAACAATTGTTGTAACTCACTTCGAGTTTCCCTCGGAAAATGCGCCTAGTATAGGTGAGATCACCCAGGCGAAGGTGGAGCTCGAGGGAGAACAAATTTAGCTGCTGGAGTCCAATGGGGTACACGAGATCACGAAGACCCAGGACAGCTTTCTTTGCACGTCTCTTAACATTTTCCAGCAGAGCGCATTCAAACTTTGAAAGCGGATAGTTAGCTGGTAGGTCATATGTTAAGACTGGACGGACTTACGAAGTGAACAAAGGTCGAAAAATCTCAGGAGTCATTCGAGCGAATGACCTACTTAAGGCAATCACCAGTCTCCTTCCATTGGACACCTCCAAGGTGTCCTACGTCGTCCTAAGATCAGAAGTTCCGATAACCCCGAGATCTCAATCGCGAGTGGTATTCCTGAGGAAAAACCCACCAAAGTGGTATGCACCGTACGGTCCAGTGCTACCCATTGGGAGAACAGCGCACTTATCTCGGTTTACTGGCAGTTCCCACTTGATGGACCATTCGCGTAGCTGGTCTAGAGCCCTTTGGAATCTGTCCGCATCCTCAAGGCTGGATACTGTTGACCATAGCTTGAGGTCATCGGCGTAGATCAAGCAGTCGGTAAATCGTTGATATACAGTTTGAACAGCTCCGGTCCAAGCACTGATCCTTGGGGAATGCCACTAGTCATAGGCACTGGATCAGAGAGGGTTTGTTTCACTTGTACGCGCATTGTTTTACCTCTTAAGAAATCGGCAATCCAGGAGGGAATACTTCCTGTAATGTCAATTCCCTGGAGTTTATGTAGCAATCGTACGTGTGGAGCCTTATCAAAGGCTTTGCTGAAGTCAATGAATATTATGTCAACCTGTTTTCGGACACCTGTGGCTTCTGTCCATGTTTCCCTGGCGATGAGTTAGTGGTGCATGAGCGTGCTCCCCGGAATCCATGTTGAGCAGGTGAGATGACGTTAAGCTTCACACAGTGCAGCTGGAGGGCGCACTTGACTATTCGTTCCATGGTTTTGCATACGACTGATGTCAGGCATATTGGCCGGTAGTTCGCTGGGTCTTGTTAGTTTCCCCTCTTGTATTTGGGCAGGACGGTATTTGCTTTCCATCCTGTGAGTAGACAGCCGACTTCGAGGGATTGCTGTAATACTTGACAGAGAGAGGCGGCGACGTACTCAGCTATCGTTTTGAGGCAGCTGGGATGCAATCCGTCGGCCTGGGGAGGAGTTCGGGTCCACTTCGAGGAGTAGCCTAGTGACTACTTCGGGGTTAATTTCAACTTGGAGTAGGGTGCAGGCAAACAGTTGTTGAGCACTGGTGGCTCCACAAAGTAGACTGAGGAATATTGCGCAGCCAGTTGGTTTGCTTTTACATCACCGCCGTAGAGAACGGTACCTTTCTTAGAAAAGGATAGAGCGGGGATTCCACTACCCGTTTTGGCATTTCGCTTTAGATAAGCAACAAGTTTTTTGGACCGTTTTTTATTCCAAGGCCAGTCCATGTTCATATTGTAGTTTTTTGTCTCGTTTTCTCAGGGTGCATAAGTTTCTGACAGTTTTGTACTCTAAGTAGCTTGATGTCAGTCCTGTGATCTAAAAATGATCCCATAGTTTTCGTGGTTTTTTCATCTGACGGCATCGGGGATAGCACTAGATCAAGTATGTGCGGCGTGTGCCCTGAGAACATCTGAATGGGTGAAAATACATGCTGAAGCAGGTAACAATCCAGTACTTTCTGAAGGAGAAGAGCATCAAAAGTCAGAAGGAAGACCACAATTACGCAGGTCCCAATCAATTCCAGGTGCATTGAAGTCCATAACACTTAAGGAGTCCTTACCTTTGGGGTGCGATTTAAATGAATCCAGCAAAAGTGCTCCTGAACCAAAAGAGATCTATGTGCGACGTACCAGAAGTTATCTACTCCCGTCATAATTACACCAGAGCTTCGAAGCAACGAGATTGATGTCCTAACGACTCTGAAGACAAAGTGTGGAGGCAAAAGGCAAGAACGGACAAGCGCAATCTAGGACTAGCTCAAAGACATTTCACCTGTTGACTTGGTAAGGCAGCAATCAGAGGCGCCACACTCACGGAGCGTGGAATTGGCGGATGTGAAAAGCCAGGTACACGGGTGATGCCGGATGTTGCGTTTGACCTGCACTTGTTAATAAAGTTATGTTTCTACTTCTGCACCCGAACGTCAGCTTTTATCTTGCTCATTGAAAATATAGATGGATATGGTTAATGATATAGCACGTTTAAGGTTATACGATGGCAAACACCATTGGTTCCTCAGTCGTGTTGGTCTTGATATCAGACGCTAGAAAGATAGGCAAACTTACTAAATGTAAAACCTAGTTACACAACATACTACGTCGGTGCACACCAGACTGAATAGCAAATGTGAGGCTTTGGAGGATCACTAGTGTACATCAACCGAAGTACTGTTTTGAATTCCCGCTCCTTGCGAAATCACCGGCCCCTAGTGCACTAGGTCTTGTTTTCCAAAGTGGATGAATGTCCGTTTGAATGAAATTGCCAGTAAGCCACACTAATAGAAAGTGTTTTATAAGCCAGCAATTATAGGCTATTGCTAACGGGATGAAATTATAGCAAACACATATGACATGCTAAAACCCACTGAAGCATGCTTGTTTAAATCGTCCGAATTCATATAATTAGAGTATTATGGTGGGCAGTGGAAGAGTATACTATCGGCAGAAGCGGACGAATTCATGAGAAAATCGCATAACGAACGTTGAAATCGTAATCAGAACGTTTAGAAAATGAGAAAAGCAAACCAAGTTTGATAAAATGAAAATTTGTATTTTTTTTTAAACGAGCAGTTGGTCATTGTATATGTGAAGAGCACGCCATGGTGCTTCGACATACCTGTCTGCGCTATGGATGCTAAATGCTTCACGGTTGCCAGGGTGACGGCTTCGATGGATCCGTATGCGGATTGCAGGTGCAGTATCTCCACGTCAGAAACACAACTTTACGTGGACCAAAATTAGTCAGTCAAACTGCCAATGCACAGGGAATATGGAAGAATTGTATCGTTCAAGTAATATTTGGCCGCATTTCCAGTTTTGTCTTTCAATTCTTTGTTCTTTTACATGTCGGAACCTGCCGGGCGATGCCGTTAACCTGTATTGTGGTACAATGCGGTGGCTTGCCTGCGATAGACCAATTTTGAAAAGCTTGCACTAGGCATTGTGAACCTCCGTAGCGTCCTTCACAGATCACAAAAGAGCCACTAACGGTTGGCTTGTCCGCGATAGACCAGGAATAAAACCGTCGCATCAGCCCTATTGAACTTCCTAATATGGTGCTCAGATAAGTATACGGCGACCAAGCGTTGGAGTGCCTATGTTGGACTCCTTATACATCGGTTGCATTATGCTTCATGGATCTAAGTAGCTCCGTCCGCTTATCAGAAAGTGGTACTCAAGCGACGGCTTAACTGAGACGGAACATGTATAAAATGGTTGCATAATTCTTTGGGCTTCTAGGTAGCATCGTCCTCGGATAAGAAGGTGATACGAACAGATGGTTTGGATAAAATTGAACTTTATAAAACGGTTACATCAGGCTGTGTGAATCTAGGTACCCTCCTCTAACTTTAATGTGGGAGCTACCAAGCAATTCGCTGATGTGCTCGACCAATTGTAATTATTAGCATTATGCCTTGTGAACCCATGTACCATCCCTCGCATTTCACAATAGAGCAGCCAAGCGATGAATTGTATGAGATAGTCCATTTATATTACGGTTTTATTAGCCTTACTGAACGTAGGTCTCATCGTTCTCAGACAAGAAAGGGCTAGCAAGCGATGGCCTGCCTGATATCGACCAAGTATAAAATGGTTGCGTCAGGCACTGTGAAACTATGTGGCGTCGTCCGCAGACAATACTAGAGCTAACGAGCGGTGGCTTAACGGATAAAGGGGATTTATAAAATGGTTGCATCAGCCTGTGAATCTAAGTAGCGTGGCGCACATATGAAGTATGGTACGAAAGGAGGGCTTAACTGAGATGGTCCCATTATAAAACGGCTGCATTAGGCTCTGTGTAGCCAAATGGCATTATCCACGGATGTGAGTTAGCTACCTAGTGACAACTTAACTGAGATGGGTCATTTTTTAAATTGGTTGCATCAGGCTGTGATTCTAGGTAGCATAGTCCATAAGTACGAATTATGTTACGAAGCGATACCTTAGCGGAGTTGGACCAATCAAGATACGGATGGGTATGCTTCGTGAATTTAGATGGACTCGTCCACAAACAAAATAGAGCTACCAAGCGATGGCTTGCTTGATATACACCAATATTGAACCGGCTGCATTAAGCTTTGTGAATCTAGGTGGCTTCGTCCGCACACAAGAATAAAACTACCAAGCGTCGACTAGGTTAAGGTAGATCAATTCTAAGACGGTTGCATTAGGCTTTTTGGATCTAGGTAGCACCGTCCACAAATCTGAGTAGAACTATCAAGCGAGGGCTTGACGGAGGTGGGCCAATCATAATATAGTTGCATCAAGCTGTGCATGCAGTTCGAGTTGTCCAGATAAGTATTGCGCTACGAAGCGATTGCATAGCTGTGATGGACCAATTATAAAATGGCTGCATTGGGCTTTGTGGCTTCAGATGGCATCGTCCACATACAAGGTAGGGTTACCTAGCAATGACTTCCCTGTTATAGACCCATACTAAAACCGTTGCATAAGCGTTGTTGAAAGTTGGTAATATCGTACTCAGCTAAGTATCCGGCGTATAAGCAATGGAAGGTCTAAGGTGGATCAATAGTAAAACGGTAGCATTAGGCTTCGTGCATCTATATAGGCTCGTCCACAGATCAGCCTGCAGCACGCAAGCCATGGTTTAACTGAGATGGACCAAAGATAAAACGGTTGCATCAGGCTTCGATTCCAGGGAACCTAGTCCAAAGTTCAGGGTGGATCAACCAAGAAATGGCTTGGCTGAGAGAGACTAATTATTAAACACTAACAATAGTCTTTGTGAACCACGATAACATTGATCACGGAATCGAATAGGGCAAACAAGCGACGGCTTTCCTGAAAAAGACCAATTAGAAAACGGTTGCATTGGCCTTAGTGAAAACAGGTAGCATCGCAAGCAGAGAAGAATACAGCTAGCAATCTTTGGCGTTCGTGTGATAGACCAATTATAAACTCTTTTCATTAGACTTTGTGAACCTGGGTAATGTCGTCCGCAGACGAAGGTAGGGCTAACAAGCGGTGGCTTGTCTGCTAAATGCCAACCGCAAAATGGGTGCATTAGGCTTTGTGGATCTCGTTAGCATCGTTCACAAATGTGCATGCAGTTACCTTGTGATGGCTTAATGGAGATGTGCTATTTATAAAGCGGTTGCATCAGGCTGTGGTTCTAGGTAGCGTTGTCCACGAATACGAATTATGTTACGAAGCGATGCCTTAGCTTAAATGGACCAATTATGATACGGCTGATTACGCTTCGTGGATTTAGATGGACTCGTCCACAGACAAGATAGAGCTACCAAGCGATGGCATGCCTGATCTACACCAATATTAAAACGGCCGCATTAGGCTTTGTGAATCTAGGTGGCTTCATCTGCAGACAAGAATAAAACTACCAAGCGACGACTAGGCTAAGTTAGATATATTATAAGACGGTTACATCAGGCTCTGTGAACTTAACTGGCGTTTGCCGCCGACAAGGATGGATATATAGATGATAGTTATGCTTGCTTTGACCAATTTTAAAATGGTTGCTTTAGTCCTTAAGAATTTATGTAACATCGTCCGTAGTTCATATTTGAACTAATAAACCATGAATTCGTTGCGATGGACCAGTTATGAAATTGTTCATCAGGCTTCGTGGATGTAGATAGCAGCATCAACTGACGAAAAAAGAGCTACTAAGGGACGATTTGTCTGGGAATGGCCAATTATAACACGGTTGTAACAGAATTTAAGCTTCTATGTAGCAGCCTCCACGGACTATCATTGACCTACCAAGCATTGGCTTGAAGAGAAACCTAAATTAGACACACGCTGCAGTATTCCGTTTCTCTTTGACCATGTAACGGCATCTGACCGTACTCAGCTAAATAATTGTTAACTACTTAGGTGGTATGACTAGTCGGTCTCAGCGAGCTTTTTTCTCTTTGGTTAATCAAGCCTAACATAATTGTGCAAGCCTTTCACGCTCCCCGTAACCTGCCATACGCCATTTATTTACATGCCACTAACTGGACATATAACGCATACAAAACATTTTCACCAACCTTAACCCATGGAGGCTCGCTCTCTTACCTATTTAATCCATTATTGGTGTGCCACCGCTGAAGTATAAAGTTAACATAGCGGTTGTAAATGGCTTCACAAATCACGGTAGCTTAGTCTATGGTGCGCACTACGCATCCTTATTCCACTTTAAGGTTTCAACGTCCCTTCAGCAAGTTCAGAATATCCAGAAGCAAATGTGGGTCAACATAGGTTGTTCATATACCGAGAGGATACTCTTGCGTATATGCGCTTACCTTATGCCAGCAACCACCTAGTTTCACGGTAATTACAGCTCCGTATGAGCGCCCCGTAAAAATCAGTTTACAGCCATCACAAAAGACTTTCTCGAAATGACTTTACACGCTGCATGCCTAACTGTAGTAGCAGTATGTTGTGTTGGCATCCTCACTTTTGGAGATGGTATGTTCTATGTAGCCTCGGTTAAACTCGGCGGCACATCTTCGATTAGCTTCTTAACTATCGAGGGATAACGCTCCTCTACGATCACCTAGGGTTTCTACTAGAAAAGTACTGCCATTTACGATATCAAATCGCCCATAAGTTCCTGCTTTACCCTGAACTTCATGGTAGACAAAGCTAACATTTCTAAATACCTGCCATCACCGGGTTTACCGCGCGCTATACAAAGCTCGCGTGGTAGTACAGTACCCCTCTACCATTGTGTTCTGGTGTTAATTTTATGTTAGTTTACTTGGTTTATCTAAATAGCTTCATTGGTTTCCGAACAAGACAAGTCAAATCAAATGAGCTTTATGTACCAAG